GCCAGTGATGTTTTTGTTTTCATTAAGGTCTGTACCATAAATATTATTATTGTGTATTATATATGTGTGAGGAACCTCCTCGGGATAATAGGTATGTTATCATTCTAAAGCTTCATTGTAGACTCGTGGTTAAAAAAAATTTTGTTTGTTAATTTTAGCTAATTCACTAATAATGCTTTCGCAAGTTTACTAAGATTACTTATAATTAAATAAATAAAAATAAATAAATAAGATATGGAAGTATCTAAACCTTTGTATTCATTTATACTTTTAAGATCTTTCACAGTCGACCTTTAATATAATAAGCTAAATTTTCGAAATAATTCTATAGAAGTAACGTGTGAAAATGGAATGAGCCTATAAAGTTTAATTCGCAATAAATGAGACGTGTGGGACCAAATATGGTACAACGAGACCTCACGAACATATGTTTGGTCACGATTTTAGCTGGTGTAATCGATACGTAAGCGAAAAGGTCTTATGTGCGGTTTAATGCTAATTAGCTTTTACTTGAAATTTCTCAGGATACACCTACATGCCTGCTGACCTGTAGAAAATCATAAAGAGACAGAAAATTGTGAAATTACTTTCACTCGCTACTTGACTAGTATGCTAGGATAAATCTGATTAGGCAATGTCGTCCTGTGTTTTATTCACAACATTTATACAGAATTCTTACTATTTCTTTTAATTCGTACAGGTGGTAATAGATTTTGTTTCAAACATACATTGATAGATTAACAGTTTACAAACAAAGACCATTTTCTCTTCAACTTTGTTGTCGTTTGTATCGTTAATGACATTGAAAGTCATACAAGTTATCGTACCATTTATTGCACCCGCGGATTAATAAACTGATAAGTTGATACCATAAGCCTACTATTTGTATGTATTGGTCGTCCCTTTTGCGGTAAGAACCGTTGTCCGTCAGTTTATATTAATCTCGATCTCAATACTCATTGACTATGTAGGGTTTCATAGATATGATACTGTAGAATTATCTCTACTGTATGTCATACCTAAATATGGGTAGTGATGGACAGTGCTTCTATGTACGTTAGAGACCAGCTTTTGAAATCAGCTTTCCTTATGGACCACTTCTGTATAGAAAATACTTTTTGTCCGTAGATTGGATGAAAATTTGATTAAGGGGTTTGCAACTATAATTTGTTGGAATGTTTGGGCAATGTCGATGTATAGTGGTCATTATATTGCCGAAGGTTATTCTCATTTTAAGTCACGACAGATTGACTTAATACAAAGGCTTTTTTGTGGCCCTACCGTGAAGGTCTTGATTTTCCTTTCAAACAGTTTCAACAGGGATTTGCTTGCGATTAAGCACTGGGTATCTGAAGTAAATTCAGATGTGTTTTTAAATAAAACAACCATATTATTAAAAATTGTCTCATTTTATTTCGAAACAAAAAATATGAATAAGGTAAATAACTTGATACTTCTTTACCTATGTCATCGTAAATTATTTTAGCCCTATTTTTAATTCATTAAAACTTATATTCTGTCTGCTATTTTTAGTTTGAAAAAACTTTATTGCCCCAAGGAGCCTCTTTGTATGGTGATATTTTGAAAGTCTGCTAACGTTTTCAACAAAAAGCAGCAACTTACGGTAAAGTCGAACTTCGCTGAAGATGTAATGTAGTTGAATAATAGAGATACTATCTGTTTTTACTACGACATTTAACGATAGCTCATGTCGTAAATTTTAACTGATTTAGTATCGAATAGGATAGCACTTTCTACATACACTGTAACTGTACTTAAGTATCCAAGTCGTAAACAAAATGTCAGTATGTCATCGCAATTTTTATAGTGACGAATGACTGTCATTCAAGAAACGGGGTTAGCAGAGTCTGTGCCATAGATGATAAACGACCAAACGCGCTAGTAAGCTTTGATTTATTCCGCCATTGACACACAATGGCGACGTTTGCTGAAACACTCGGTTATTCTCGACTGTAATTCGGCTAAATCCGTCTGCGGCCGATGACTCCGCAAGCATGCGCAAGCGCCGGACCTTGAAGAACAAAATTGAAAACGCGGAATTCACATAATATAAGTTACGCGGATATGACCTATTGCAAGCAGTCTAATGCATATCGTTTCAGATGAACTTGTTTTATATATACGACTTTTCCCAGTCAGTAGAGATTTTAAGTAAATGATTTTAATTATTTTTGACTATTTCAGCGTGTTCTTTATACATATTTGAACATGTTTGAAAGAAATAGTAGAAAATACACTTTAAAAATAAACTAATGAATAATTAATGTCGTTAATCGTAGCACATTCACCGGAAATTGGTGATCTTAAATGTTTATGATTACACGGCGGTTATTACGGGTTTTATCTCGTTCCAATATGACAACTAATGACATAATCAATAACGCCTCGTTATAGCTTAGTTGTAACCATTATTCGTTTGGTTTTCCTTAACTATTACTGTACAATTGACGGTGATTACTTGTTATTTATTTAAAATGTGTTAATTCAAAGTACATTTGTCACACCATGAAATCGCGTTTAAATAACAAAGACATAAAATAAGATATGTGTATCCATGACATTTAAAGGTGTCTATCAGTTCTAAATAATAAATACTATGTACCAAAATGTCACGAATATTAATGAAAGTACCTTGACTTTTTACCTTTGTTTGTTACCAATATGAACCTTCATAGGCAATGTAAGGAATTAATTCAATTTTTTTAATAAGTTTGTTACTGATTGAGAATTCAAAGGCCAGTTTTTAGGACTATCTATATTTTTACCCTTATGTTGGTTCTCATTAAATATGCACTGATATAGTTTAAATATTATTAACTAATTAATATAGGCTATATGTTACTGTTATATAGTATGCCACCGTAAAAAATATATAAAGATTTTTCGTTAACGGATTTCGACTTGGGTGGTAGTTATTGGTAAACACTGCACGTTAGTATATGGATATAACGGTTAAAAATTTCTAATAGACAGTTTTGTTGATTCAAAATAAAGGTAGGGTGCACTACTTAAAAACATCTATTTTTTCTCTAGTGATTTGTTGAATATGTCCTGAGTATAGGGAGTCAAAAAGTAGAAGGAAGAAATTGATTAGCCTTTAATGATAGGCGAACTTTACGAGTACTTGTGGAATGTTAGTTTCTTCTTGTTTCTTTTTTACTTTTTTCCAGTCAAATACTTTGCCCCTTGAACCTCTAACGGGAAATATATGCCCAAGACGTAAAATATTCTATTGAAAGGTGTATTTTTTAAATTGATATTTAAAAAATAATAACCTAATCTCTTTAATTATTATTTTAATATTGAGATAAGAATTATACATGAATAAAACAAAAGCTTACGAAATGTTATCACGACCCATTGTTATTGATCGTGTTTTGGTGCCATAGCAAATTATATGCTTGTATAATGACAGGAGATAAGGCGGGACTTATGTGCGCACGCGCAGCCTTTGGATTTAATTTTAATATCCGCAATGGCAGATTACGTTAACAAATCGAAAGTGACTGCGTTTTCAGTGAATAATGGTGAAATAAAGTCGGTGTGTGCAAGTTTCAATTATAGCAAATAACTTGTCACTTTGGTTAGGTTAAAAACGATTCAAATAGCTAAACATTTGGGATTTTTTACTATTCTAGTGTAAAGTTGATCATCCCAAATATAATCATTTTAGTCAAGTTCAAGTCAATTCAAGCAGAACAAAAACTGCAACTTTGAACATGATACTATTTTTACATTGTCGCGAGCGATTATTTATACGTAGATATAAATGTTACTCTTATTCATTACAACTAATTTATTCCAATAAACGGGAAAATTAGATTGATAAATATATTTTGAATTTAGAAATAATACTTCAATAAACGTCTGAGATTATAGTTTAGCTCGTTGCAATGTCAATGTTAACATTATTAGTATTTGTTTATCAGTTCTTGTGACTTATGGCTTCTTGAAATTGTTTTGAGCACGACTCAGTAATGCAGACGTGACCGGGACGTACCGATGTTTCTCATGGGAAGTGGCTGATTGTGTAAATGCCCTGTATTAATTAAGGGCTCAATTAAATCGTATAGATTACCAGCTCGAGATTGCAAGATCTTGGATATTGAAAACAGTTGTATTATTTTTCAATCTTACTTAGTTAGGCTGCAATTGATAGTTATCAAATTAATTATAACAGTAGCTGTCATTTGCGTTAATTTGATTATAACAGAAGTCGTAATGTAATGCCACCAATACAATACAATAGTCTAAAGCAAATTCAAATAAAACCAGCTCTTGAGCACTTCCAACCAAACAATCAAACTCTTCCGCTTGTAACATTAAGTATGGATTTGATTATTGCATTGAATCAAGACGAGTTTATTGAAGTTTTGGAATTTATAAGTTGACAGTTGAGTCTGAAACATTTATGACCCTTTATGAACCAGTCGATGAATATAAAGGTGAACAAACTATCACCACACTACCGGTTATTATCACAAGGTTACTGATTCCTTACCTAACCATTACGTTTAACTTGAGATTACGAAATGTTGCTATACAATACGATGATGACCGGCTCCGATTTTATCACGATCTCAATCAAATACCAATAAAAATGTAGTAACAATAGCTATTGAAAAGGTCGAAAGGGTTCCAATGAAGGAATGTGAAAGATCACAATCGCGGATGTGTTTGTAGGAAGATAATAGACCTTTTTATAAATCTGTAATCAAAATACGGTTCAGACTGGTTTCGCAATTATTGTGTATGTTCGTTTGGTTTCTAAGTCTCGAGAGATCAAGCTATAGTTATGGTGGTTAATAAAGTAGTGGTTGCTTTAGTTAAAAATAGAAGAGAATTGTGATAAAAGTTACCAGAAAAAAATATTATAGTTCTAGGAACTCTCAGGTTGTTTTTACTACACAAATTCAACGAAATAACTGTTGAGTTTATTACAAATTGATTTCAATTAAGTCAGCGACTCGAGCCCAAAAATGATTCCACACGATTTCATACTTCTCATCGGTTTAATGAGATTGGAAATTGAGAGCCCAATCTTGATACATAGTAATTTGATTGGCAACAACGTCGATAAGCTGCGGTGGGTAATTTATATTCACAAGGCGGAGGTCTATCTAGATATCTACATAATGGAGATAAAATTTACTTACATCCCAACACTTTATTGTAAATTTATTCAAATAAACTAGAACAAAACAAACACAGAATTTAGATCTAGAATTAGAATGATATAATCTTTACAATGTTAGAACAAGTAGCAATTGAGACTCAAACACGTTAGAAACTTCAAGGTGAAGTGTATGCAGAAAATCTCTAATCTGCAGAACGAACGCAGTTTAAGCATGATTTACAGTTTGCCGCACTATTTCAAGTCAGTTTAACTTGTTTTATGTTGACAGAGGCGATACAATCGAAATGTTATGGTGTCAATTATGAGTCTAATATATCGAGCATTCTATCATACTCGGCGACGCCTACTTTCTTATCTAAACAGTTATTTATGCTCTGTTTATTGCTGATATAATTCGATAAGGATAGAATTTAAACTGTACTGCAGAACTGGGTCGGAATAGTACGGATTAACTCGAGCGTTGGACAGGTTGGAACAAATGTATGTTGCAATGAAATAAGGGCATTTGTAGAATGTAGAACGTAACGATTAGGAAAACGCACTGCGCTAACAGAAAAATAAAGTTAGGATTAATTTTAAACTTCCACTGTGTATGAAATTTGGCATAACAAACTATTTAAACAAAAAAAAAGATTTGGGTAAACATATTTTTCGACAATTGTAAATTTCCTGCATCTATATCTTCCATAACAATTATATGCATATTATCAATGTCATAACGAGCCTCAGCGCGCACGCAACACTCAGCACGTTCTATCCTTTGTGAAACGTTTCTATAAACTTTTTGTGTGTTAAATAACTTCTCATTGTTACGTGCAATTGATTTGAACATTAGCGGCGGTATCAAAAAGAACTTGGAATTCCGCAGAAGCTATAACAACGAATAAAACCTTCATCACAGTTTACTGTCTTTCAACAGTTGTCAGGCTGTCAGGCTCTTTTATTTGAGTATAAGCAGTATATTAGTGAAAGTCTTGGTTCTTCAATGTTTGTTTGCACTGTGGTGATGATTACGTTCTTAACAAGATAGTCAAGGAACTTGACGCGATGCAGCAAAAACTTTAATTGCATTCTCGGCACAATTTTCACGTTATTGATATTATTGTTTAACGGTACTATCAAAGGAAGTGTCATATTTTGCTTTGAATTGTTTGATTGATGTCTTGTCTTGTAATTGTTTCTCGATTTTGTTTTTGTTTGTTTAATAATCAGCAAGTTATTTTCCCAAAATGCTTTCCATACTTGTTTATGTTGTTATATCATCAGTGACTCTTTCTTCTCTCTCGTAAAGGCATCCGGCCTTTAAAGGAAGAAAGCGAAAGGCTAATTTCTCATGTTCTCATTAGTTTTAACTTTTAAGCCTTATAATGATTGCGTATGTAGAATAAATAATTTATGGAAAATAACTAACTCCTATCACTTATCTTGACACAACGATATCTCTTAACCGTGATACAGGTAACATCTATCCAACTAGTGTCATATCACCTAAATAACATTTTAAATTAACCACATCGTTCTTCGGTGCATAATTTGGATGTTTTTCAGTTTGGTCAGTCATAATAACATATTCCTTTTTTAATAAATTTGTTATTGTCATGGTTCATTGAAAGCATTTGATTCAGAAGCACAGGTTTACCTAAACAAAGTCATAAAAATTAAAAAAAATCGAACGTACTTTTATTTAGAGAATAGTTAAACAATTTAGCGTGTAATGAAAATACCTATAAATTAGTTCTAATTATACATTCTAAGTAACATGAATGAGATAGTTAGTCATCATTTTCCTGAAGATTTAAAAAAAGGAGGATTTTAAAATAAATATTAATTTCTATTTAATTTTCATTGTATAGAATGTGAAAATGTGTTTGGTTTTCAGGTATTACAACGTGACGTGGAATGCCACGGTCGTATCGTGAGCTCTGTGGTGCGGCTGTGCGGTGGAGCTGACGTCGCTCGCGCATTGGAGAGACGCTGGCATCTGCTGTACTTGAGGGCCATCGAGTGGCAGTGCCACTTGGAGGCCTGTCTCGCTAAGACTGATAATCAGGTGAGATTTTTATCTTTCTTATACTGTTCAACTATATATCTAAGTACCTGTGATAATCATATATACAAAATTTTCTAATTGTGGTTTAGACTTTTTGATTTTTGTGAGAAATAGTATTGAGTCAATAATATTTTTTTTAACTTTTTGCAAAAATTGGCTATTGCCTTTGATTAGATCAAAAATTCAGATATGAAGGCGATATGCCTTTTATATTATTTATTTTATTATTATTTATTAACTATTAATTACTTAAGAAGTCATGGTGTAATGGTTGCAGCTCCTTACAAACATTGTGTAAAACAAAAAACTTGGCGATTAAAAAGTGTCGCGGAGAGTTAATTGCCAGTTCTTCTCTTCCGTTCTATGCCCTTGATTTGAGAACTGGCAGTAAATGTTAAATTAGAAGCATTTAATATGTATTTCTTTTTTGATGTTCATAAGTGTACATTGTGTTACCTATATGAATAAACGATTTTGACTATACGTGCGATAACCCTAGGTCTCTTATGTGAGCTCAAAAGAAATATGTAGTTAAAAAGAAAAAAAATAATAGCTTTTATTGGTCTCTGTTTGCCAACTATATTCACACAGAGTGGATAAACTAAAAGTTAAGTATTAAGTCAAAAATATTACCAAGTCCGCATTGTTCATTTTGCAACAATAGTACAATCAACCCCCTGCTGATGTTTGCCAACCCTAAATAGTTAACAATGGTCTTTAAGACCACATAGGTTAGGATACAATACATATCACGTGTTGAATAAATCTATGACTGTTGTGGTACGCGGTTGCTAGGAAACTTGACCTAATTCAACGGAGCTCTTTCGACCGCATTAAAGGGTTAATTTATTTATGGTCATGACTATATTCACATACATATTTTTGTGGCCAGGATTATGGGTGGATATAAAATATTATTTATAGACAATCAATGTTTTGTTATGGTTTGAGGCACTGAATAAATATTTAATTTTCATGTTATAAATTAGTCTGGGAAATCATTAATTTTATAGATAGATAAATCTTTAATAAGTTTATTTTAAAGAAAGTTTATTTTGTCATTTAAATGTTTTAGTACTAGGCTATTTTTGCGATTGCCTCAACTAAAGTCAGCGTTATATAACAAGGTATATACATTATATGATATGAACATTTACAAAATTAAAGTCGCAAAGAAATTTTATAAAAAAGAAAATTTAGATTTATTTTTATTTTTGAAGTATAAGTAATAGGTCATCGTCGATTCGACTATACTGTTTTGTTTCACGTGACTGAATTTTTTTAAAATAAATAATAGATTATCTACAAGTTTAACGCTTTTTAAACTCGTACTGTGCGTACGAGTTTATACGGAATACTCTCAATAACCCTTTATTTTCATATTGTTAAATAGACAATTAACAAAGCATACTGGACATGTTTTTTATTTATACTCGTTTTAAATCATCAATTTGCTTTAAAAGTAACGTTTGACATATTAAAAACTGCATAGAATCTGCCAGTCTAGATTTTATTATACATACACATATTTATGCAATTACTTATAAGATTAATTTATAATTCCAGAAGTACGAACCAGTAGAAGCTTTAAGTGACAGCGACGACGAACCAGCTTTGAAGCAGCCGCGCCTAAGCAGACGTGGCTCGCCGAAAAGACAACGTACTCCAATTAATTCACGAAAGCGAGATTACTCAGAAGATAGCAGGCAGTCTGCCTCCGAGGTAAAATTACTATTAATAAAAATATTTAAAATAAAATATTGCTTTGACTACAATTGTTGAAACGCCAGTCAACTAAGGACCTGTGTTAAGGGTTGTCCTGCAAGTTTTGTATTGAACTTCTTATCTAAACAATATAAAATAGATAAAAAGTATTATCAAGTTATCGTATACAACTAATTGAATATATTGAAAAATCAATAGTGACTTCTTCACTGTTGATTTTTCTTTTGACTAATTTCCTTCTTGTCAATAAAATTAAAATGATTGAAGAAAGACGCAAACTGATGCCTAGATTCATATAGAGCTGTAGTGCCACATTATTTATTGTTTTACGAAATATTTTACGCTACTAAGTATAACGTGATTTTACAGGAGGAACTAGAATATGCTGTAGGCGATAAGTGGCGTAACTTCGGATCAGATTGCGAATCGGAATCAATGCGAGACAAAATGGCTGACGAGCGCAGAGTCCCAAGTGTGGATGGAGTAGACAACAAAATGACTGACCAAACTGTACCTGTCACTGATGAAATTGATGGTATGTACACAAGAGGATTTAAATTACTTTATTTTAGATTAACAAATCAGAATGATTGAATGATGGCGTTAATTCAAATCATGAATAGGCTAGTCATGCTCATATCGAACTGCAATATTTTTTAATAAAATTAAGTTAAGATTTATTTATATAACAGGGGAAAACGGAAAAGAAGCTCACCTGATAAGAAAGCAAGTGATACCGCCCATGGACGTGTACGGTCTTTTCTTGAAGGACCCTAAGTCGAATTGTTTCGGAAATACTTCAGTGGGCGGCAAGGACTAAACAATATTTTACTTGCTGCTTAGATAAAAAACTTATCTTTACAATAATGAACATCACTCTATGAAAAATTGTGCTATAGTAAAACTTTGTATTTCTTCTTATTTTGTATTGTATACTATTGGGTTTGAATGATATAATTGGAATGCTATTAAACTATTGAAATATTCTGCTAACAAGACAGTAAAAACACTTCAACTAGATTAGGAATTAAAAATACAAGCAATCCAGAACAATTTCAATTCTCATTCATTTGCAATTCAAACAAAGGAATATTATTGATGATGATTCAACATCATTCTATCCGCATTGTTTACAAACACAGCCATTCTTGGAGTTCGTTATAGATTAGTAATCATTCATTGCTCTTACAGGGAACACTGCATTGCCTAGAGAAATCAAAACCCCGCCGACTGTAATCAAAAGAAAGAAACCAATAGACACCTCGCGATTTAATCAATCCGATCGAAAATCCAAAAATTGTGCCACATTTTACTTCAGACACCACGATACGGATTCCGATAGACAAGTGATTGAAACGGATGAGAAATCGCAGGATGAGTCCTCGGAAGAAGAATGGACGTATACCAACGGTGCAAAGATAGCAAATGAAGACTCAACAGATATTATGACATCATCAGTTGAAATACAATGTGAACTGCCTGTGGAAGAGAAGAAACCAAAAGCGAAACTGGTATCTAGTACGCCGGATCTATTAAGAGTTGATCAGAATTCTAGGTGTAATAAAGATATAGAAAGACTTGTGATTCAGGCTGATGAGTTGGTGCAGAAGCAGGCGCAAATGGCAAAGAAGATGGGTTCCAGGAGTTTTAAGCCGTTGTTGTTGGATGAAGAAGGAAAGTCGGTCAGTAGGGCGAAAATGTCGAGGATCAAGGAGTGGTTGAATCAGAGTCCCGATGGAAAAGATGAAAGCCATCAAGTATGTATCTTCCTACATAATAATATAATTTTAATTATGTTAACCCCAATATTCTTTAAATATATTTCATTATATCGATTACACAGTTTTAATTGAAGTAGTCATCTCTTTCTATAAAATTATGCTGTGATAAAAGAGACAGCTAGGTACATATAAATAAAAAAATGTTGGGCTAATTTAGATTTTATGAATAATTATTTTTTGTTTTAATAATTAAATACTTAATATGTGTTTAAAGGATTTAAACTTGCTTATATGTGGATATAATTACTATGTCCAGTTTGTGTTTAGTAGCAGTACATAGTCGATCCTACTAAATCGAATACACAATATACTATAAACCTATAAAATGGTTACAGAATGGTGAAAACTACGACGCATCCGGTGAATATACGACCGAGAGTGAAGTAGATACATCCCTTACTTCGGAGGAGCGGAATCTGCATTCGTCTATGGACATGAGCACCTCCACCTGTACTGTGACACCTACACATCATGCTAAGGTACAACAATTTATGCTGTAATTAACTGCTATTTATGCACAATCTTCTATATTCTTGTATCCAAGGACAGGTTCACTGTCGTGTATATAATGCTGCGCCATTTAAAAACATTAATTGTAAATAAATATGAACTAGAACTACGTTCGATGCTATGATATATTGATTTATTACTTTAAATACAATTCCAAATTACATAATGATACTTGGTAGTTATTAAAAAGGTTTATGTAAACCTGGTTTTTTTCATAAGATTTGTTTTGCATTTAAACAAATAACAAATTTGATGAACAGTACAAACTAAAAATATATTTAATAGGTGACTTTAATAAACTTAAAGTTGTGATAAGGGAGCGTTCAAGTATTACGAAACGCAATTTTTGGAGATTTTTGACCCCCCCATGTAAGTCGCCGTAACGTTTTTCAGTACCCAAGTACAGTACTGTACCCAAATATAATAAAATGTTTCGTGACCACCTAGTGACTCTTTAGTTACTATTATGTGGTGTAAGTCGAAAAAAATATTAACAATAACGCGTAATTTAGTTCCCGCCCCGCATAATAACGTTTTCAAACTAACAAAAGGACTCCCCCCTTCCCAAAATACGTGACGTAATACTTGAACGCTCCCTAATAAATATGTACAGCATCCAAAAGCTTAATTACTCTCACTTGACTCACGATAAATATAAAATCTATCACCCATCTTATGCCTAAGCGCTTATGGTATATAGGTGCAACTCCGCAAGAAGCGGGGTGGCAACAGCGCCCGGCCGTGGTCCGTGTCTTGCCTCTCGCAGCTAAGTGGCGTTGCCGCGTCGCTAGTCACGCCTACTAATGACGGCATTCATAACATGTCCATATCCGAGTCTGCTCTCAATACACTGGCTTCACCGCAAAGAGTCACCTCGGCTAACTCAAGCTCGAAGTTACGCGGAAGTTCGACAACTGTACAGGTAATTTTTTAAATGGTTCAACAACATTTGTGTGGCATTACGCAATCTTAATTTCTAAAAAACAAAATACATTATGTTAACATAATTTTTAATTGCCAAAAGATCTTACAAATACTGTGTATTTGGAACAAGTGTGAAATATGATTATTGTGTCATTATCAGTCTAGGGATTATTTTTCTTATAAAATTTTTTTATGCTTATAAGTCGATATTGGGTGATTTACGTGTATAAATTTGCTTATGCTATGTACATTTGCTTGTGTCTTTGTATTTTTTAATTCTGAATTTAGAAAGAGCATCTGGAGAACTTTTATTGGTCTTTGTTGAATTAGCTATGAAATATCTAAAAATCTTTGAATCCTCTATACGTTACTTATCAGTAAGGAAAAAGAAAGACTCTCTTTATCTTTAATATGCCACCCATGGAGATAGACATAACTGCGTAGTGGGCAATGCAATAAATGTATTATATTAAGTTTTTACTAAAAACTTTTAACATGTACTAAAGGCAGCTTAGTGCTCTTTCTAAATATCTCATCTTTATCAGGGTCACATTTCAAGTACAAACACAATGACTGAAGCGTGCACGTCGTGCGTCGAGGCGAACGACAAGCAATGTTGGCTTCGCAGAAAGCGACTAAAACTTAGAAGACATAACAACACTCTAAGGAGGGAGAGATTGGTTAAGTCACTCTCTTTCTGTGGTCGATTAAGTCCGGAGTTGGAGAAGAATGAAAGGAGTGCTGCAAGTGACCCAGCTACTAGTAGGAAGAGTAGGTGAGTGAGAAAATAGCTACGAAAGCCAAAAACAATATTATTCATATACAATTATGAAATCAGTAATGCACGTCGTACGTACCTAGTTATTAAATATATAAAAAAAGAGGTCTGTTTAGATATTATCATTCGCAATCATAAATTGAATACCTATATTATGCTTAGCAATAACTACATATACATAGTGTGTATAAATAAGACCGTATTAATCTATCTTCCAAGCATTGCTTCTAATTTGATTTATGATATTCTCGCGTAGTCCAATCCCTAATGGGTATTAATTTATTTTAATTCTTAACATGCTAACCATGTTACATAGACCGTGCTATATACGCATTTAATATTAAAGAAAAATGGTAATGAAAGAAAGTAATATTAAACTTATATTTTTCCAGGTTTGACACAACATCCACCTCTGGCAATGACAGTGACGAAGAACTGCTCAAACAACAAGTGGCTGTCATCGCCAATTTAAGAAAAAGCATCGAAAAAACCCACATTTCCTCAAAGGACGATAGTGCCATTCCTGAACAAAATGAATTAGAACAAGTTACACCAAGCTTTAAACTTGGGCCAGAGGGAGGTATAGTTAGACCAAGATTAACGAAAAGTATGGAAAGAGAAAGATCGTTTTTGGCACTAAGCTTAGGTGATCCGAGCCAAATGTGGGACCTCTGCGTTGACAAGGACTCAGACAAGAGTGTCACAGCTGGCACGGAAGAGCATAGTTCGTTTTCAGAACAGGCGTGGGACTTCTATCAGGTAATGTGTCAATTTTATATCTTAAAGAGTTAATGCGTCTTAAGGAATGTAAATTTAAAAGCTGTGATTTTCGATGAAGAAAGTTTTTAAACGTGGTATTATTTTTATATCACCACGTAATAATTAAGAATATACAACTTAATCATAAGGTCTGAGTAATAACGCCGTGTTTCTATCGATATCTCTAAATGGCGGACCACTGTAAAACTAAATAATAATACAAGCTGTATTTTTTTTTTCAACAATTATTAAATATAACCATTATTTGTCAACAGGAAAAATACAACTCCGAGCCATATTCAGAAGCGCCCGACTCCGATGCTGCCCGGCGTCTACTGGAATTCGGTGATGACTACAGAGCATTTTTAGATTCACAATCAGACTGTTGCTCGAGCCTCTCGGCACAACCAGAAAACGACCAGAGCCCAAGTGGAACACGCAGACGGCGACCACCATCTGACATATCCAGAGAAAGAAGCCTTCCGAGACATAAAAAACCGTCCAGAACATCACCAGTAGAAACCCCTGTCCGAAAACCCAAAAAGTCTATGTCCAGCGCCGAACGCAAGAAAAACCTATTGGACAGCCTCGAAAGATCTAGAAATAACACTAGCATTGAAAGTAATGACGGCGTACGCAGACGCAAACCCTCCGAAAGTGAGCGCAGAAACAACAAACGCTCACCCGAATTCGATTTACTAAACGTCCAAGCTTTAAGTCGCAGACGTCACAGCTCAAACCTAACCAGTGACGAAGTGAACAGTTCCTTAGAGTACACCGAAGTCAACAACCGTCCAGATATTTTAGACTCGTTAAACAGAAGACGCAAGGAAAACGGTGAAGCCGAATTACAAAAGGTTGCACTGTCTGAGTTGCGTCGTAGATCTAATGAGAGTGGCGATTCTGAAGAATCATCTTCGCCGAAACACAGCAGGAGAAACTGGGGTGATTCAGACTCAGAATCAGAAGAAGTGAGGTCGCTAGTTCGTCGGTCGAGCACGCAATTAGAGGTCACAGAGGCGTTACTGGCGCGGCAGGACTCTCCGGACCTCCTTCGCGCTTTCGACTATGTAAGGAAATTCGATACAGATTACAGTAGCTATACCGACGCGGACGACGAATTCCGCTCGTGTGTGACAAGGCCCGCATGCTTCCGCTCTAGAATATGTTTAGCAGTCACCGCCTTTTCTATAATGATTATAGTATACATACATCTTCAATGACACTTGGCTTGGGCTTGTATTATATTTATTCTCTTATATTTGAGTATTCGTGTTAGGCACGCTGCGATTGTCAGATTGCGAAGTATTTAGGATTCGCACAAACGGTCGAGGTCAAGATAGAGATCTCAATAGTGCTGTCTCGTTCTTTGTAAAAAAGAACACAGACAAGTTAAACCTTGATTAAGTATTAGCGGCCTTAGAGAGGCGTTAAATCTTTTCGCTCAATTGCATGTCTTACCTAAGCACGTATTTAACCTTCTATACATGTGTTAGAATTAGATATATCTCTATTCATGGTGTCGAGAAAATGACATTCCCATTTGATACATTCCTAGTAGTTAATTTTAAATTATTGTTGAATAATACATAGGTACAAAATCTTACGCATTTTTTGTATTAATAGTCTGACAAACGCAGTTTTATATACAGATAATGTTACAAAAAAGTATTCATTGAAATCCCGAGACATTGTCATAGGATTTTTTATATATTATAAAAATACATAAGGAAACAGTCTCTATTATAATCAGTACTAGGTTGACTAATAAATTGATTAGGCAAGTATAAAAATGGTGTCTACTATGATTAATTCTTTAAAATATTTTAATAACAATATATAAGTATTTCAGGGTTGCATGTATATCAAAAACATCGTGAATTATTTATATTTTATGTGTGCGTGTGTGCATTTAATTTTTTTCCTTTTTTGTTTGTTTGATTCCTTATGCGTGCGCTTAACTTGACGATTTTTATACTAAATGTTTAATATTTGCCATAAATTCAGGAGTGTAAAAGTCAAGTAAAGCGACGTCATACACTAACAGCATTTGTGATTGTGAATGTAGAATTAACTACTAACTGCCTGTTAATATTCTGCTATATTTCATTTTTCTATTCTAATATTGGTGGTGATATAACTCGGTGCTAGGTTCAAGCTATTAGACTCAAGTATTATTTATCATCTAAGAAAGTTAAGGGGTGCAGTTTGGAAACGTTGGCATAGACGGAAAAGCCATTGACTAAAGTCACTCGAAATGTCAAATTGACAGATGTCGAACTGTAACGAAGACGTCAAATGACATCTGTCATTTGACGTATTCGTTACAATGTTCATACGAGACAATGGTGGAAGAATTAAAACGTCATTATGTCGACCGTGATATTCATACGTGTATTTATTATCAAATAACTTATTTTCGTTGTATAATTTATATAAATAGTCGAACCTAAAATTAATCAATAGGTGTACACTAATTAACAAATGTGATTTGACTGAACTCCTCATCTCATTAACTAACATTTTGTACTGTTATTAACTAGTTGATTAGGGTTAGGATGTTAATTGATGTTTTTTAACGAAATGTCAAGCGCACAGTGATCTTTGTATTAAACTTTTACGAGAATAAATGAGTCAGTTTGAAAGTAAAAATGGAGTTTCAGTCAATTAGCACCCTTCTCTATTAGCACAATTGTATAGTAAATTTAAAAATAAAGCAAATAGGACTTTCGAAATTCTAAAACTTATTTGACAAATACCTCGCTTTTCTAATCCGTATCGTGTAATGATCTGCTTTAAAAATTGGCGGCATGTTTGGTTTTCTTTAAAACGATATCAGCTTAAAAAAATTAAGCATTTGTCCTAAGTGTTTGAGAAGATGTAACTAATGTAATGAGAAGTGGAGAAAGATATAAGGATCCGTTAGAAAAGTGAACTTTTTTCTACACAGACGGAGGTCGTAACGCGTTGCCGTGAGAACATCACACTCTTGGAGGTGGCTTTAGCAGACAGCTCGTTATCGCCTGGTTTGCAACGGGATGCGAGAGGTTTGTCAAAAATTATTATTAAAACAACCTTAAATTACAATTGAACTGTGTCGTAGCTGTATTACATATTAGTACGTCTATTGAAATTTTTGTTTTACAATTGTAATTAAGTCAGCGCCATCTATTGATTTTTTGAAGCTTATATTGATATTTTTTTTTAATAAATGACATTTACTAACTTGAAGGCTGTTAGTTTAAGAAATCTACTAGAAATTAAACGGCTATGATCACGTGGCGTAACAATAGGGTGCCAGGGCCCAAGAGATATTATGTTCTATGGATGAATGTGAAGTCTCCAATACGATTTGGAGACTTCACTTGGTAGTCCCCACGCTAGTCCAAGATGATTGGACTAGCGTGGGGACTACATACCATTCCCTCTCGCCTAAGAGAGGAGGCCTATGGCTATTAGTGGGACATATACAACGTGTAATTCAGTACGCTGAAAATCTCGAAGTTTATTAAAATTAAACTGAGTAGGGAAGATTTTTACTGATAGAGCCCCATCAAAAGAATTGCCACCAAAGAAGATTTGCCACGTTCCCCAGATGATATAATTACGCCACTGCTATGATCTAAAGATTATGTGCTTGATTGTACCGCTACTGGATTAAGTAAGAACAAAACAAGTGCATTTGCATTAGTGCCGGTACACCGGTTAACGTATTAAGTTCGCAGTATCTGATTACTCAATATTGCAAACTCTGTGGTCCTGCGGTTTTGAACCGGTGCGTATCACCTGTAATTTTAGGATATATCAATGTTATTATTTTATAATTCGTACTAACTATTTATGAATGATACTATTTATGTCATTAACAAGTCTTTCGTTGCTCCAAATCTAAAGCTATCTCTTTAAGTATTTAGTAATTTTTTAAACAACAAAGAGTACCACTAAAATTTCAAAATTTGCTCTGAATTTGTTTAATAATGTTACTATGGAAGAAATGGTTTCATAAAAAAAATCGATTACATAATTCACTTAAGTATAATTAGCAGCAAAAGTTTGTATTATTCATACGAAGTCTGCAGCCTTATTCGTTTCTTGACCGGTTCTCGTACGAAGACCTTTGGACAATCTCGATCAAGGTGATGCATTTATTTCTCAGTACTTAAGTCCTGTTTGCCTCGGTTTAGTTTTTATTTTGAGCATAATTGACTGTAATTATTACAATTAATACACATCCATTTTTTACTATCTATACGTGAGATCACTTTTAAAACTAGTTTCAAATCCCTCTTATGAAACTTTCTGCACTCGTATATCAACGGGTTTGTACATGTTTGATTAAATTCCTTTTATACGTTTTGTTTTTGTTAGTTCTGCTCTGAGGCGTTAGGCTCTGAGTTTAATACCGAGTTCAGAGACAAAGGATAAGTTTTAGAGTTAACACTTAGCGCACCTATGACTCTTGTATTGTCAAAACCCATTACGATGATAACTTGCAGGATTTATATTTAGCGCAAAGTCACACGACTTAACCTTAGTTTATGTCAACTAGATGCGTTAGTTTCTACGTCTGTCACTAAAACTGTTGCATCCTTTAGATGTAAGCGCCTGCGCATTATTCCACAAATAAAAATAATGCTCAGAAAAAAGATGTATAATAATTTAAATTTGTTCGTAAAACACACCCACAAAACTTCAAACGAAACAATCTAACGAACTAACCCTTTGTATCGAAATAAATCTAAAAAGTTATTATAATAACTGGGACAAACTAAATGAGTAGTCGGTACCCCGGAAACGGCGATACGGAGGACGACCATCTATTTCTGCCAACGAAAGCGGAACATTACGAAAGTGAAGATGTAATGTCCTTGCTAATTAGCTTTACATAATACACATAATGATTAACGTACTATTAAAGCATTTACAAAACGTTTCTTACCACTGTTGATAAACTAATAATAGTTTTGTCTTAGTATATGTGTGCAAAACAACTTTTACACGTTTAATTCATTTCTGTCCTCTCCTCTTTATAGATTTAAATCAGTACAGTAGGATAATATACACGACCTTATTATTTATTCACATGAAATTTATAATCACCATTACCGGGATATTCTAGAAGTCTCCGTAAATTTAACGAAAATATAATTTGATTGATATTTCTTGGCCGTAAATATTTTTATAGTCTTTTAGTTATTGACTGACTGGCTAAAATACTTGTTTTTACTTAAGTGGTAATGCCTCGATAGTATTTAAAATGACGTAAAAGTAAGATAAATTAAACTAAGTGCTTTTAAAATGCTTTTACACGATGATGCTTAAGAGATAAGTACTCGGTTCATAAATAGGATTTCTAAATATGTTCAACACAAATTGAAGATGTGTGTGTCGTGTGTTTATTTTATCTTCTAAACGTTACCCTTTATAAACGTACAATAATTCTCTAACTTTCTGATTTGGTCCTTATAACTACTCTTTGCAAATAAATAAACGTGGCTAAGCATTCTTTGATTCGTAAATAAATAGGTAAGAGCGTAATTATTACGCGTTAAAATATTTCTCTAAGAAATCAACAGGCAATCGAAACGCGTCGTTTCAAAGACTGAATGTCATTAATATTCTATTAAAAAAGTTTACATGGATACATTCTCGGTACCACCACATCGCTTGGCGGAATTTGTAAAAAAAAATTAAAACGCTTTTAAATCCTAAATAAATTCGATTATCAATTGTTCGTATTACAAATTTAATTTTTTAATTGAATTAGATTTTTCTAGTTAACCTGGGACATTTTTATGTACAAGATTCAATTGTTTTCGTATATATAATGTTTCCTATCAACAAAGTTATCAAAATGTACGTGCGGTGCAATGACAAGACAAATCCTTAAAACTCTTTATTTCAAAGACAAATAAATCGATTTTTTATTCCATTGGATCACAGCTATGACATCAGCTGTGTAAAATATAGAGTAAACATTCAATTCTAACGATGCACTAATAAAATTTACATCAGTTACATTTAGATTTGTGTACGGATCCGTCGTAAAATGGTGTTTAAGATCGTAATTGTTGTCAAGGATGTTAGAAAGACTAGACTATGTGAGTATTATTTTTTAACTTCAAGAAGTTTCTCTTTACTAAAAATACCGACTTAGTAAATTTCTTCCCAATAGAGGTATTAACATAAAAAAAATATTAAAAAGAAATGCAGTAACAATATATTTTATTGTAACCCAATTTCTCAAGCATAAACAATGCTCTTGCGACATCATGGCACATCGATACATCGATACAACATATACGTTCCATTATTTATTTGGGCATTTAAATAAATAAAATACTACTACTAATACTACTTAAAATAATAAATATACTTTTTGTGCAACTCATTGACATCTTAAGTATGAAGTTATAGTCACAGACCAAAATTATCTAATAAGACTAAGATTTGTACTTAACATACTCAAAAGCCAGACATCACAAGGTCAAGGATTGTTTAAATATATTTACGTAATCTTTTTAGAATAAATAATGTCTTTGGTCGATGACTACACATTGAAATATAAAGAAGTGCACGACCCCGACTAGCGAAACGTTGACGTAAGTAATGTAATAAAAGCGCGATTTAAAAATGCTTAGCAAATTATTTTGATGAACTAGTCCTCGGTACCGTATACGTATCCTAAAACCATACGATTTTTTAGCATCAGTCAATATGGCTTTGTTAAAGCAAAGCAAACAAACTCACTTTCTCATTTTCTTTGGGACTTCCAAAGAAACATGATCTTATACATATGTTAATATCCATTGCAAAAATTTTATTATTTAAATTGCTTGAGCTATTTTTTATTCATCATCAATATTAATGATTTCACAAAGTTTTCTTTTCTGTTCCCATTTTATTTTGCGTTGCTGTCTGTGCATACATTTAATCGGGATTGATCCGTTTTGCGATGTTATTTATAAAGGTGTTAACATAGGTTATTTCTACCAAAAATCATGTAACTTATTACAAATAAATACACAAAACATTGACGTTAAGTTTTATTGTTTTAAATCTATAAAGCGATTGTATTGTCAAGGCGATATTCAATCGCCTTAAGCGCTTAACCAGTTTTAAACAAATTGTAGGCGTTTAGATCAGCTGTGACTGTCGCACGAGACACACGTGTCCGTTGTGGCTATAAATCGCGAGTGATTGTATGTCTTGTGTATATTTTACATTTACCAGTATTCGAAGAAAAGTATTCAAGAGAAACTGGATGCGCATGAGTGATTATACTTTCGCTAAACGCGATTCTATTTAAAATTCGAAATTCTAATCGCGTAATACCACAGTAGCGGTATAGCAATGCTAATAACCTTCGTAGAAATAAAATCACAGTTGATATGTATATGACTAATATTTAATAAAATAATGTCTGTATTACCAAATGCGGATAGTATTTAAAAATGCATTTGCCTCATTAAAAGTCCATTACTGTTCAAATTCATAATTGGATGAAATGACCAGTCATTGTTAGTAAACAAGCTCACTGTTCGCGTTAAAAACGTAGCGCTGATAAAATCATTGATAGAAATAAAATGAAGGGTAATTTATAGAAAATTAGTTGTTACGATGAATTATTGATGTAAAACCAATTTCATAAAATCCGGGTCGTAAAGAAAGAGTTGTGCAACAAGTTTCTCTTTGTTGGTTACAACGTGACATCATCCAGTCCAGTTTCGTTTTTCATTAATCCTTCGAAATATGTCTTTTAGTAAAACTATTTTATCCATTGCACGGCGCCAAAAGGCGAGTAGGACTTTTATGTATGTTTTGTGATTATCTTTCACTGACAAAAGCCGAAGGATGTGGTATACAATCCGACGCGTAAGATATTAATATTTTTTTATACGTATATATATATATATAAATAACTAAACGCAATGGAGGCAATCGGGTAGGAGGCTCACCTGATGTTAAGTGATACCGCCGCACATGGATATTTACAAAGCAAAGATACATTGCAAAGTGCGTTGCCGGCCTTTTAAGAATTGGTACG